ACGACTTGCAGCGAAGCATTCGTGTACTACACCCAGTGGGTTGGCATGGTGACCGTGACCCAGTGCTTCGTCCAGGGCCCTTCAAGAAGCTCCGCCCGTCTTCCCCCAGATGCTCCACGTGAACAATCACGACTCTCAAGGTTGAGCGCACACGACACCTCACGATGAGAGGACTCTCAAGACAGAACTCACAACCTCACGGTAAGAAGTGATGAAGAGGGTAGATAAGGTTAAGAGCAAYGCACCTCGTTCATGCTGCCCCCAACCACAGAGATAATCTCACAAGATGACCTGAAGATGATTGCGATGACCAGTCACAGCATCGGCACAACCAGCCTTTCGCCGTTCCACCTCAGCCTCAATCACCAAACAGATAGTTCTCATCCCACAACAAATACCCAATATTCACACCTTAGCCTTCCAGGCGATGCCCCTCACCACCTGGGTAACCTTCACACTCGTCTCCACCCTCCTCACTACACACCACTTACGGCCAAACTCTCCCAGCAGACCGCATGTATGTACCGTATAAGGCAGAAGACAAGCGCCAGATGAGCGCAATCGTACCACAGCTCCGATACCAAATTGCAAGGAAGATGAGCATTAGCGAACTTCAGCAATCAAACAGCATCATACATATGAGCCCAGATAGTCTTGACCTCGAGCCACAACAGACTGGCATCACGAGATACACCAAATAAGAACACACCAAGAGTTCAAAATTGACAGTGCTGAAGTAGTCCCATCATCATCAACTACGAACCTGAGTTGATTTCCTATTGGCACTCGGAGCCCAGACTACAGGTGGCAGATCCTATCTAACCTATACTACGAAGCAGAATGATGACATCAACAGCGTTGCCGAAGTACGAGCATATGGCAACCAATGTCGCACGCTTCAGCACTAGTTATGTCTCTCGTAACACTCACAACCCCGATCCACACCGCACAGATGCCGCTAACACCCCAAGGACCACCCTGCGCTTCACCTAGTATACGGCAACGCATCTTGGCTATGGCTGCGTGCTCCCTCCTGCTCGCCCGTGAGAGCRTGAGTGCCAGCCAGCCAGCGGATTGCGCAGCAGCGCTCACGCAGCATGCAGCCAGCACCCGAATGTCGAATGAGGAGGCAGGTCCTTCCCTATATCGAAGTGGCCTGCCTGCGTCCAGTCCAGGAAGCTTCCGGTAGGCCCCGGTAGGCACAGGCCCAGTCACAACGAGAGCAGGCCTTGGGCCTGAAGTGGTTGCATGCGCCCAACTGCTTTCGGCCTGTGTTTGGCCCGGTGCCCGTATCCAGCCCAGGGCCTGCTCCACATTCATTTACGCAAGCGGCCCAGGGCCTGGATTCATTCAACCAACTTGCGCAACGCAACTGTCTGAATTTCCCCGTTGCGGGGTACCCTGAAGAATGAGGCCTCAAGGGCCTGTCGTGCCTGCCTTCACTTAGGGCGGCGGACCTTGTTGCAGATAGGGCCCCGTAGGGGCTAAGCGGGCGTAGCCTCGCAATCGACAGATATATAAAAAAAAAAAAAAGAAAAAAAAAAAGAAGGAAGTAGTCCTCTTTTATTTTTTATTTTTTTTATCTGTTGATTAGG